CCAAAAATATCTTTGGCGCACTGATGAATTATACTAGAAAGAGCATAAACAGAATAAAATCATGATTAACATCACATACGCAGAACCAACTCATCGCACAAAACAACACGATAGAAATGAACGATGAAAATATGAATGTTATGAGCGAAACAGTCATAGTGCATGATCTGTGTTGATCAATTGGTGTGGTACCATTGACATATCGATAAATACCACTGACAGATCATATAGTGCACGTTTATGATCAGAACGAGGCATATACATTCCAATATCAATGGAATGCATATGAGATGATCAACGAGATGATCAGCGAGTGAATTCCAGTATCAGTGGGGAAAAGAAAAAAATTCAGTTCCCTTCTGCGAATAGCCGGAATTGAAAAAAATTGGTGAGGAGACGGTTAGTTTGAAGATGGTCACCGTAATGCTACAATAGTGATGAACACATTGATCAACAGTGATACATTGCATTGAAATATGCGCCGTTGAGCTACTTAAGAAACCTACCTGTATTCATAATTGCCCGTGTCAAGTCGATATAGAGGTTCATCCAATGATGCGAATTGCACCTCTTCATCATCTATCTCTTTCAGTTTCAAACAGAACGATAAGTATTCAAATTTCACATCCAAATATTTCTTCATTGTTAAATTCGTTTCAGCTATCGCCTTTTCAGCAAAAGTATTCAAGTCGCGTATGATTGGATGTAAACTTCGCATTAGTCTGCAGATAAAATACGGGAATTTAAATGTGCTTAGATTGATTCGAACCGCTCATTTCAGGACCGCATATTTGGATGTGAAAGTTGAATACTATTTGGACGGATGAAGAATGTTGTCTCCCTTTTATCATTTCCAGTATGGGAATGGCTTATTCGATCAGTTGAGAGATTAGCGATAGCTCTCATTCAGTGGAATGAAATCTTGAAATTATTTAGATTCAAAAACTGAATTTAGAACTCCATAGGAGTTGATATGAATGAACTGAGTGTTTGATCACAAACGAACTCAAGAAGCTCACATGGTAGGATAGATCAGTGTGCTTTGGAGGGAGGATTATGTGAGTATTTTTGAGTTTGAGCTGACAGAATAATTGATTCATAACCAACTTGAGCATCTGCTCGTTAATACAGCGATGTGCCTCACCAAACGCTAAGAAAGCCTTGTTTGCATCCGAGGAACTCTCTCGAGCAGCCACCTTACAAAATAGATCGCCAAATTCTGGAATGTTCACTTCGTTATTGTAAGATTTACCATCAAAATTTCCACTTTATTTCTTCCATCTATTCAGTTGATTGCAAAGTAAGATAACGCATTTCTGATCGTGAAAAAAGTGCCTTTTGAGGTTTTTCAGGTGACGTTTAGTAGTTCCTCCGGTCCCGGTTAAATACGGTAACTGGCCACGCCCACAAATTACGGTAGAACGTCACGCCCATGTGGGCGTGACGTTGTGGGTGTGATCAATTACCGTAGTTAACCGGGACCGGAGGTACTACTACATTTTTTTTCGATGCGGTTCAATATCTAGAATTAACAGTCATTTGTCTGACCTTTTATTATCTGCCCGATTTGAATAGTTCAGTCATCAGCTCATTGCTTACATCCTACATCTTTGTATGCTGTACATTTGAATTCATAGCTTGCGGACGACTGCGAACATTTCTTGCTGTGCTCTAACTGCACTACACATTCAACTGCGAATTTGAATGAACGAATGCCGTTTTTTATGTTGATCGGAAAAATGATTTTAAAANTTATTGTTGGATTGATTGTCAGCTTACAAAATTGTTTTGTTTTCATTCTCCGGAATCCTCACATTGTATCGATTGCATTTCTGAGATGCTTGGATTCCGCTCTTTTCGAAGTGCTGTGATGGAAAGTGTTGATGATCGCCTCTGTCGGACTGTTTCATTTAAAAAATTGTTGAGAACGGTCGATTTTCTTGTGTATCGTTAGAATTTTCGTAACAATTAGCGTTTTGAGTTCTTAGTTGACTTTGAGGATAATTGATCGATTCCTAACTTGCATAAGTAATATTGAGGATCATCGCGGTGTAAAGTTTATTTTTTACCAAATATACTGGTCCTTCTATTTTTTCAAAATTTCATTCATAATTTCCAATATTACTGACATGCCTTCTAATTTATGCTTCATCATCCCTACAATTGCGCTTCTCGTCATAATTTCGATGTTATGATTATTTTCTCTTTTGAGTGTTTTTCAAAAAATTTTCCTTACAAAGTATTGTGATTTGAACCGCATTCCCAATCTCAGTTTTATGCTTATCACGATTCGTTAACTGCTAAACGATACAGATGTGAGATTCGGTTTTTATTGTTGAAAAATATCTTAACATTGACATTCGTGAATTGCTGTATTAAAGTTAAAAGTATTAAGATTGTCATTCGTAGATTCGTTTGACTGTTGTTACGTCGTTGTTGTAGGTTGTGACATGGGTTGAAGAGCTTCAAAATTAATGATGTTGCCGCTACTTCCGAGGAGACGCTTCAAGTCGATCCTCAAATTCTGCCTCATTCTTGCCTTATTCTCTCTGTTTTTGTCGTCTTATCGACTCTCAAATTTGACCGGTGAAGTTCACTTCAGGTATTTTCTTTTCATTCTTTCCTTTTAAAACCACCAAACCACAGGAATAATACCGCATTCTCATAATAATTGCAACCAGATTGAATCACTGATTTAATCGCTGAATTAAATTGTGATCGTTGATTTAAACCTCTCCACCTTTAAACTTGTTTCCAACACAACTGAAACGAAGAAATAAAGTGGAGTGTTGAAAGGAATCAGCAGAGTTCCAATATGAATTGCTGTAACGTTCTTCTAATTTCATTGCTCAACTATTTTCTTTTGAAATCACTTTTCTGAGGTGTTCGTTTACAGATATCCACCTCAACGACTTCCGCCCTACGTATGCCCCAAAGGCAACGACACTGCACGGACGTTCGGTTTTGATAAAAAGTTAGCAATAAAATCACAACGAGTACCAAATGTGGCATGGAAGTCAGACGCAAAAATTTTGGTGTTTGTCGAAACGGTATATTCGAAATTGGGCAAACAGATTTTGAGTGTGCTGGATGCGTTGAAAGTTACGTATAAAGTTGAAACGCTCAGTAAAAATTTACCCCTTTTAACAACGGCGAAACGTGGTCGTTTTTCGATGATAGTCATTGAGAACTATTACAAGTATTTGAATTTGCCCGCATGGAATCGTCAGCTTCTCGACAAATATTGCCTGGATTACGGAGTTGGCATTATTTCGTTCATTAGCAGTCGCACGTCGGTGAGCTACGTTCAAGCGAAAATCAAAGATTCCCCACTGCAATTCCGTCAGAAACAGCACGCCGCCAATTTGAGATTCTCACCCGACTCATCTGTCAATTTTCTGGCAAAGCCTGGAGCCATTTTGGAAACACCACAACCAGACTTGGATGACTGGATTTTGTTTAATGTTTCTGAAGGTGAGAAATTACTCATTATCAGTGATGTTGAAAGGTTTTTGATTTGCCGTTGAGTTATTTTATAATTCGCTTATTTTGGAAGATGTGAAAGGATTTCAGTCAGTGAGTGTTCACTTGTGTTTCCTCTTCATATGAGTAAAGGAGTATTTGTATTCATTGATTGTGTTCGTAATGTATCAAATGATNTTGTCATGGTGCATTGGCTGAATGATGGAAGAAATTTGGTATTAATTCAGTAATGATGCCTGCTATTTAAGGTTTCGATAGTATCATATCAGCGGATGATGAGCTGGGTTTTGAGCGAGCTGCAGTAATACACGATCGGGGGTATTTTGATGGAATAGAACGAATTCTTTTCGGTCATAATTTCACGCATTGGATCAATAAAATCTCATTTGTTGACTCGCTCAGGTTGGTTACTTCTGCTTTCAGTACAGTTCGATCAGTGAGAATTGAGAAGAAATTCTTCAGATATATGAGTGGTGGTTCGTTGCAATTGGATTTGAAACGTTATATTGAAATCGATGTTGACGATATATTCGTTGGTCAGTCAGGCAGTCGTATGACGGCTGCAGACGCCGACGCATTACTAGAGTCACAGAATCGTTTGAGACATTCAGTTGAGAATTTTACATACTGCCTTGGTTTTTCGGGTTCATTCTTTCGTAATGGTGACTCGCTGGAAGTGAAAGGTGATGAGCGTCTGATTGGTATGTTGTTTTCTCGAATTTTCGGATTTATTCATGCCCTTCAATGTGTTTTATTCGATCCATAAGTAATTCTTCAATAATTTTTCATTCACGGATAATGTAAATCTATCATTTAGCAATTTCAGCTCACTGCAATTTTAAGTATACCTTTCGTTGCTCGTAATGGGATACCTCAGTAATGAATTTTTAGAAGGATAACGGGTCCTCAAACTGAGAAATTTCTAACGAGTTTCGTAGGTGTGAATTGTTGTTCGTCTTTTTTAAAACATTTTAGAGTCATGCGTTCTCAATTTGTGTTTTTAGAAGTGGGTCAAAATTTCATTTGGTTTCCTCATATGTGGCGACATAATCACGTTCATGAACTGAACATAACACAAATAAAGGCGTTGATGACGCTGAATAAAATGTTCGCACAGGTGCGTTTTTAGTGTGTTTGTTTTGTTTTGTTTAAGAATTTTCATTGTATGTGGGCGTTCATTACATCGGTCAATTTCATTGCTTCTGAAATGTATTATTGGAACCAAATGTTTGTGTTCCATTTGGAGGAATAGTAATGCTGTTGTATTAGTTTTTTATCTTTTTATTCCCCACGCCGCAATATTATCCAAACATAAAGTGTGTTTGATGATCATTATAGTCGTGGAAAATCCCAGTAACATCTCAGTATGCCATATCGCCTCAACATGCTGGAGTTTACCCGGTGCATGAGGACTTGTTCGATGCGTGGCGTGAAATATGGAATATCAGTGTCACCTCAACCGAGGAATATCCACACTTCAGACCGTCTTCGTCACGACGTGGTTTCATCTACAAAAATATTTCGGTATGTATTCGATTGTTGTTATTTGAAATGCATGTAGTGAGTTTTCGGATTGTAATCTGTGTATAGTTCCCAATCGCAGTATGTTGTGTTGCGCCATTGTTAATCACATCGTCGATTTTGATCTTTTGTTTTCATATTGATGTTGTTATTAGTTAGTAGTATCGTTATAATCGATCTTAGAATTTCACCATCTCAGGTTCTCCCCCGACAAACTTGTGGTCTGTATACGCACACACATTTTTTTCATTCGTATCCTGATGGCTTAAGTACGTTGATCAATAATATCGAAGGCGGTGATCTCTTCTTGACGATTCTGTTGAACCCGGTTCGAATTTTCTTTCTCTTCTGAGTTTCGTTTCGATCTTCAGTTAACACTTCAAAATTTTTTGTTTGTTTCATCCGTTTCCGGAAATATTTTAATCATGACATGGTGAGTGTTTGTGTAGATATTTGGCTATTATCTTGCCTTGCTTTTTTGAATAAGCGAAATGTTTGTAATAAGATTATTTGACAATTAAGTTCCAATCATTCCATCAAAATCGTCATCGTCACTTTCAGTTTTCAATATTTATGACACACCAGCAGAACTTCGCGAATGATCGATTGGGTATATTCACATTTGAGCGTGTCATCGAATTTATCAAATGCTGGACGAATTTACGTTTGTACTGGATGGAACCAGTGAGGATTGCTGAAGCATACTTTCGTCGATTTCCAAACGAACGTACGCCTGTGTGGAGTGTAAGATATCATTGAATATTGCTTTTGTTTCGTTCGAATGTCTCTTACTTCGGGATCATTCTATTAGCAGTATTGCAAATAACGCTGAATTGGAATATCACTTTATTGCTTTCATCCATTCGTTTGCATGGATTTTGTTTTGTTTTGTTTTGGGAATTTGTTAATTTTAATCAAGGTGTTAGTGATTCCTCGAAGTGAGACTTCATTTGAATTGGATATATTGNTTGAGTATTGCAGAATCCTTGTGCAGACGCTCGACATGAGAAAATTCTACCAAAAGCTTTCGATTGTTCTGCGCCAATGCCTCTGCCAAATCTACTCATTGTTGGTCCACAGAAAACTGGCTCAACAGCGCTATCCACTTATTTATCTCTGCATCCGAACTGCACCACAAATGATCCAGTTCCATCATCATTTGAAGAACTGCAATTCTTTGGCGGCTCAAATTATGCGAGAGGAATTCTTTGGTAAATTTTGGTGCTTTCTCTCATATTTTTTTTCGATGTCAGTGATCTCCTCGAAAACGTGTGTTTTTATAACGTTACTTGTGAACGTATGACAAATTGAATCCAGTTGTGAGTTGCAGTCAAAATCTTTGAGGTGTCCACAATGATCATATTTCTGTATCCTCGACGGGTTCATATTTCTGTTTGTGCGTAGATTGATTAGTCAATTATTACATCATTAAGGTATATGGATAAGTTCGCACGTAAGGTCAAACCGGAACAACATTCGGTAGTTTTCGAGAAGAGTGCCACGTATTTTGATAACTCTGAAGCACCACGTGCCGCCTCAACACTTCTGCCGAAAGCGAACGTTATTGTGAGGAATTTAAATTTTTGATTCTCGTTTATTCTGGTGTCGATCAGTGAAGAATTTCTCAGAAGTTGGGTAGCGGAAAGATGCAAATTTATTCCTAAAATGTTGTTCGTTCTGAAGAATTGTCCCATTGGAAGTTATTTTGATGGTGTTAAAT